GAAAATTTCTACCACAGTAGAATGTTCTACATGCTACTCTAGAATTTCTTGAGTCTTCTGCAAATATTATATAGATGCTGTATTTCTTTAAGCTTTCCTACTTCTTTAAACTTTTTTATCATAAAAGGGGGCTACTAAGTTCTCCTCCAAAAGACTGCTATGAAATTTAAATGAGATATTACCTGTATATAAAGCATACATCCACGTGCCTGGCACATTATAATATTATTGTAATTGGTAGCTCAACAAGTCTATTCAGACTTAGGCCAAACACACTTGTATTTTAAAATACCTGTAACCTACTTAGCTTTTTGAAACAATCTTCTTGGAAACTAGATTGTTTTTATGGGAACAAGTCACTCATCCTGAAGATAGCCTTTCTCAGAGTCCTAAGAAGGGTAAGGTTTTTCCTCTCCACAATACTTTGTATCTTAATAGAAAGGAGCAAGAAGGAAATGAGAATCTCCTACAAGTAGCAACATTTCTAGCCTTGAACTACCCCCTCTCCTCTTTTTTAAAGCCCAAAGGAGATGAAAAATCTCTGCAAAAAGTTGTTTATACTATAGGTGTCAACACAGCTTGGGGGCCAGACAGGCAAACCACCGGCTCTAATGGGAAACTGTGTATACACAGCAAAGGTAATTATTTTGGGCTGCAACTGCCAACATGATTTAGCAAACCCCCTGCCTGCAAAAGTCTGATCATCCCCTAGAGAATGGGCCCAAACTCATTGCAACAGCCCAGACCTACCTGAGCTTCTGCCACAGGCTCTTTTGAGATCTTTTGTAATTTGCATTCCTTAGGCAAATGGAATTTAAATTCCTCAGGCAAATTTCACTCTGATGGAACCTCAAGACGACATGCATGCCATGATCTCATTGTTTGGGATTTCTGCTTTATTATCATTAATGTAGGCTTCAACAGGCAGGTGAGGTAAAAGAAGCATTTGGACCAGATTCCACTTGGCATTCATGAACGCTCTCTTAGAGTTGAACAGCCCTTACTTTTCAAAGCACCTTTGCAAATACCTCAGTAGCATTTGATGATAATTCTTGCGTGGTGGGAAGGGCATAATGAGGTGTTACACAAAGAGTCACAAGACCAGGATTCCAGTGCTGGGCTGTAGCTCAAGGAGCCTGTCTATAGATGTTCCCTGTGTAACGGGAACATAAGTAACGCAAGATCAGAGAGGATGAGGGGTTGCAATCAGAGCACATCTAATTGTTCTGTGCTTGCCAGTGGGGAGAATGACGTCCTCCTGCTGTGTGTCACAAGGAGGGTAAGTGGACTCTTTGTACATTTCAAATCATATGTTTGACTTGCTAGACAGAAATACAAATTCTTTCAGCCATCAACTGAAAAACATTTTTTGTCTCGTATTTATCTCGGCTTATTTAATTGCTCCTTAATCATCTCACTAATAGAGTGACAGAATACTGTAATTTTTTGGGACTCTGACAAATGTGGTTACTTTGCTATGAAACTTCGTTTTCTTAGTTCTTCCCGATTCGGGGCTGAGGCCATGGGGGATTGATTTACTGAGAAATCTGCCCCCTGATTAGGGAAAGATGGGGAAATGGCAGATGGTCTGGGGAACTGTATCTGAGCTGAAATCAGAACTCCGGTTCTTCTGGGTCTGGGGACTTCAATTTGTCACTAACTCTCTAAGCCATATCCTGACGACGGAATGGTGAGAATGCTCTGCTTCGTGGGATGTTGGCGAAGCTTAAATAGGGATATGCAAAGTGAATAAAAGTGCTATAAAGACACGTGAATGTTGCTATAAAATCCCACACACCTCTATAGCCTTTCTCTATATTCCTCTAATTAGCAATGTTGCAAAGCACCAATTTTGGATCATTATGTTCCTTAATTTTTCTTTAGATTTCACTTCTCAAAAATTTCACTTGTCTCCACAGCCCTGAAAAAAAAATCGCTTTAATAACCATTTAATTTTGTTAGATTTTTCCAACTTATTCCATCTATACACTGGTAGGTAGGCTGCTTTGAGTACATAGAACAATTACCTTGAGGTTTGTTCAGGTTAAGACCTGAGCCTCCCATTCTGAGTGTGTAAGAACCTGTCCTGATGCTCACCACGTGGCGTTATCATTTCTATTTTAGTATCGGCGAGGGCAGGGTGGTGGCAGCCTTGCTCACAGCTCTATCTTCAGTGTGAAGCGCATAGTTGGTTGTGAATAACTGACTAAATGAATTGGAAAACCAAATGGCAGGTGGTGTGACAAAAACAATCTAAACTCATAGTGAGGGCCTGTAGGAGCGGCTACTCCATCCTGGTAGCCCTTTGTGACCTATTGGTAACTTATGACTCCAGAGCTCTTCAGACAACCAAAGTATTATTAGGTATTCAGGCTTAACCCATTTTGATCTTTGTACAGTTCTAAACAAACCAGGTCTGGGAGCAAGAGTCAAAGAAAAAAAAGAAGTCTTTGGTGTGTGCGTCTTTTAAAAATATTATAGTGGAGTTGGGTTTTTCCCCCTTTCCTATGCCCAGAGTAAGTATTTGTTGTAATAAAATCTCTTCCAAGATGGACATCACATTGTACGTAAGACACGTGATTGGTTAAAATGCCATTACAAAGAACTCTTCATTTTAGAATCCGTAGCCACAGTATCTATGTATAGTATCTATCATCTTTTGTGAATTTAAATTTAAGATTCCACTAGGTTTAACAATTTATGCCATCTTTTTCATTTTAAACTTCAAGATTCCATTAGGTTTAATAATTTCCAATCTCTGCAATCTCAAAGCGGGCAGCGATGAGTGAAAGTGAGTTTAAGAACAATGGAACCCTAGATCCTCTTCCCTTTGAAATAACAGAAGCTAATGCAACCAATTCAGTTGAGCAAATAATAAATTTATTAGGTGCTTACAGGTACAAAATACTGAAAGCTGCTGTAGGGGATTATAAAGACGTGTAGGACACGAGCCCTGCTCTCACAGAGCTTACAACCTAGGCAATTAGTCACACGAGTATGCCGTGGTGACACTGCGTAAGTGACTTCAGCAAAGTTCTTGAAAATGTTCTTATCCTTCGCATTCTTCTCTTCAAACACATAAGGAATCCTTTCAAAGGGAAGCTAAACAGTGGGAAAAAGACTTTTCGTGGAATCAGCCGGTGACCTCGACTTTGCGTATGTGCATCTTTCAGTTGCTGTTGCCTATTCTCCTAACTTTCTCAGCCATCATTTCCTAACTGGACCTTTGTTTGGAGGGAGTCTCCACGCTTCCTGAACCTTCACCAGGGTTTCCTGTTTGTGAGTGAGTGGCTCAGTTGCAGTTTGGCCTTGGAATGATTTGCAGTCCAACTTTTCCTTCAGCAAATCTATCTTTTGGTTTTAGGTGATGCTAGAATGCTTTGCTTCGCAACCTGTGGTTTTAAGGGTGGGAGTGAAATGCAAAAGGAAAGCAGGCCAGACTTTTCCCTTACTTTAAACATTTAATAGTGCACTTATTGAGTATATTCTGTACAGATACAGAGAAAGTTATAAACCTCTTCCTTTTACTTAGTTATTTTTTCATTTAGACTGTATTCACGTAAAGTGTATTTACAATAGGGGAAAAAAAAACACGAAGCCTTGAGGTACAAAACCCAAAAGAATTATCTGAGGTATAAATACAAGCATATTTTAAATAATAATCTTTATCATGCTTTATCTATGTTTGAAAGCACAGTGGACATGTGCACATGGTTCTTAATAGAGTTGGTATATACAACATACAACCTTACAAATCTGGAATCCATCAAAATTGAATATACAAGTATATCTTCATGAGGAACACGGATATCCAAAATACTCAAATTTTAAAACTCTCATCTGACCCCTGTGAAATTCTTCAAAAAATCCTCTGATATAACACTGACAATGGTAACTAAATTATGTTATAACAAAATAAAAATCCTTCTTACAACTCTCATTCATACATTATTCACTTTTGATCCACACAAAATAAATTTACTAATACTGTCTCTTGAGTCAATCTTTACCACTACAGTAAAACCTGAATAAAAACCACCCTTCCAAAAACAAAAATTTGCCTTTTTTGTTTTTCTGCTGTTTTACTGTGGTTACTATTTTCCATTACCACTAAAATATATTTCAAAGGCATTCTGAAAGGAAAAGAAAAAGAAATGTAGGAAAACCAAAATAAAGCAGAAAGTCATAAAACCAGAAAACCTATTTGCTGATAAGAACAAACCCAATTAATAAACGCAGCTTTCAGGAATGCTGTTAATAAGGACCACCAAAAAAACAAAAGGGCCTTTTGTAGCTGGGTTAAATTTATGGGGATTTCCTTGGAACATACATAGTTTCCTATGTTCCCATACATACAGTGTCTTAAAAAAGTTTCTGTTATAAACACAAAAATGCAAAGAATTCTAACAGGGAAAACGTTTTGATGCTTGATTCAGGAGTAAATGTTAGAATGCTCAGTTTTCACACCTCTGCTTAAAAACAAAACCAAATCTATGCTTTGGAGCCAGTAAGGCTGGGACTAAGGGGCTTCATCCTTGGACTAATCTCTGCTGGTTAAAACTGTATCACTATTTGCAATCAGGTCCAAAAAAAAAAAAAATTTGAAATGGGTATCAGAGTAAATCTACTAGAATTCAAGTACAGAAGAGGTTGGCGGAGAAGAAATACGCTTAATAACTTGGGGGGAAAACCCAATAAATGGACAAGGGTTTTAGGCCCCCTTTCTGATGGATTCGTGGGTAGTCAGATATTCCAGGTTAAACTGAACCCGATGCATCAATATCCTTCTCGGAGGCGTCTCAGTGTGCCAGACACTGCATCCCAACCTATACATCTACGCCATTCAACCAGCAACAAACACACATTCACACTCCTCTGTGCAAACCTTTCTCTGCTCATCTCAGTGAGAAAACATGTCAAAGAGTACCAGCTATTCCAGTGGATACACCAGTCCCTCAACGCACTGCGAATAAAATGACACAGGTACACATACACCGATATCACAAGAGAACAAAGTATCTTCATTATCTTCTGTAATGTATTTAGTTTTGCTTCTCAGAAGCAATCTGAATAAGAATACAAATACATTTTTTTTTGCACAGTCTTATATATTCCAGTCAAGGTCTATTAATATAGACCTTAAACAATCAGGAAGCAGCTTTAAAAATGTATCAAATTGCTATAGTCAATTCCTACACTCCAACTTGTAGTTTTGAGGATCAGACATGGAACCCATTCTTCCAGGGACTGGCAAGGTTCTACGAATGAACACCCGGATGGTGGACACAGTTGCTTTGCTTCAGTAATCACCTAGATTTGGTGTCTTTGGTTTCAGTATTCTGGTTAGTGAAGGAGTCCCGGATTTTTACAACCTCAGCTGCACACAAATGTCCAAAAGATTTTGTGTACCACTCTGGCATGTGGCCCCTGTAGCAGAAAGGAAAAGGAGATGAATTATTTAAGTTAGAAAGCACTGAAATAAAATGAGAAACATCTGCTTGCTCGTTCAAACGCATAAAATCTATCATTTCCTGTGGCTTTAAATTCACGGCAGAACTACCATATCTGCATTGCTTTTGTAGCAGATTTTTCTAAGGGATCCAAATTAGGAAGCGGTACACAAGAGACCAATGTACACTAAGATGCGACTTTATGAGCACCACTCTTCATGAAGTAACCAACAAGGATGTAGTCATTGCAGACATTCTTTACATCAGACAAAAAGTCTGAATCTTCTTCACAACCCTCACATTGTGTCAAAAAATCAGAATCAGAACGTACCTTAAATCAGCTCTGCATATGTAGGTGAGTTTGGATTTCCCTGGCCCGCAGGGTTCAATCAAATACCTGGACAAGAGCACATTAACCCTCACGCCCACCACAGGCGCCCGGTCATGATCCACAGAGGTGAGTAAAAGGGCACACGCTCCCTTGGGTAAATTAGTCCTCCAGGTTCTGTAGAGACAAAACCAGAGGGAGGGAAAATGGTATTTTCTAGAAGCCAAGTTTAAAACGGTGCCTCACTTTTAGGGGAGACAGCCGAGGGACCAGGCTCAGTGTATGGGCTGTGTGATCCAGGCCTGGGTAAATGGTACCCCCTAAACTACTTGCTGTAGTGTAAATATGTTCCCCTAAAAGCATGTGCTGGAAATTTAATCCCCAATGTTGGGAGGTGGGGCCTAATGCAAGGTGGATTAATGCTGATTACAAAAGGGCTCGAGGCTTCAAGTTCGTTCGTTCTTTTGCTTTCTTGCCTTCTTTTTGCCCTTCTGCCATGGGGATGACACAGCAAGAGGGTCCTCACCAGATATGGCCCCTCGATCTTGGCCTTGGAAGCCTCCAGAACCATAAGCCAAATATATTTCCATTCATTATAAAATACCCTATCTGTGGTATTCTCTTATAGCAACACAGAATAGAATAAGACACTACTCTCCAAGGACTCCTGAATAAGAAACTCTGTACAAAACCACTTCTATAGGGGGTGTGTGTGCTCCGACAGTCTTCTCCTTGAAAACAGAACCCCTGTGAAGTGGAGCTTAAAACCATCTTTATATTTCACAAATGTCTTAGAACATGGACACCCAAAAGGAGCACTGCTTGTCTGAAAAATTCTGGACTCTCAATGTGACATTTCCTCCAAGATTTTTGGAATTCTTCTTTCAATAGTATCTCCAGAGAACTTACGAATTACATATAAATCAGCCATAACCACATCTCCCTTGGGACTCAAATGTTATTTCCTGGCTTATTCATTCACTAGCTGTTTCTAACTAGAAAAATCTATCCTAAAAGGGGCAAAAATCTGCCACCAATGAGCATGTTCACTTAAATAGGCCTCTCTTTCTGAGATTAGTTCCAAAAGAGTTCAAACCATTCTCAGTGAGGAACACACTGCTGGAATAAACATAGATATATTTCCTATATTTGCAAAGGTTCACTCCTTTTCTGGAGGCTTTTGTTCTACTTTAAATGATTTTTACCATCTTGTAAGATTCAGTGACATACAGGCTCGGTGCTGATATCGAGTCACTCTTGCCACAATAAACAATTCTGAAGCTCTCACCTCAAAACCACGTAGTCCCGAGCAGGGTGGGGTGCCATGCTGTTCTGGACGTACTGGTAAATTTCAGTCTGGCTGTCCAGGATCTCGATCACTTTCGAATCCAACAGGTCTACGTCCCAGAGGTGCTGTTCTTTAAGTAGGCGCTTTAAGATTTCCTCAGGCACAGCGGGAACTTCGATGGTTGACCTCCAGAGCCTTAGTGGGGGTCCTTCACTCACCTGAAAAGAGGGTGTATTTTTCAGTGCTAGGACAACCCATTCATATCTAGACTTCGAAGACAAATTGTTAGTTGAGGACCAGGTCATATGTCAAAGGCTAATCAATCTACGACTTTCATAGGCTGCTGTCCCAAAATATATTCAAGAGCAAGTCAGAAAGTGAACAATTATGTTGTCAATCCTAGTCAAGTCAAATTCTTTGTTTTTCTCAGACCTATGTCAGAGCGAATGTAACAAAGTAAGATCATCCATTTGCACCCCAAAGCCTGCATGGCTATCCACCTGCTCTCATTATTTTCAAGGTGGTAGAGAAAGTAACAACAAATACCGCCTACTGAGCATGTCATAAAATACCAAAAAATCAACAACAGGAGTAAAACATTTGGGGAACTCAAGTGTGATTCTGTAGAACCAAAGGATTTCACTAGAAATAGCTTGAAATCCTCTTACAAGTGTCACACCAGGTGAGTGTTATTCCTCACTTGACTGGTTTCCACTCTTATCTGGGGAACCTGAACCTCCTGGCTGCCCAGCGCTGCCAGGGTCTGGGCTATAGATCCCCGTAGGATTATGGCTGGCCAAAGAGTCTCATCTCTGAGGAATCTGAGTCCTTACCACGGGAACTTGACTGGCCGACAACAGGGAGAAGATTTACCTTCTTATAGGACAGCTCGGCCTGCTCCGAAGTCGAGTAGCTGACCCAGCCTTTAAACTTCTCTTTGACCTCTTTGAACAGGCCGTCCACACAGTCCTGGAGGAAGTGCTGGTAGTCAGTGGATTCAGCATTACCCAGGCGGCTCAGGGCTTCCAGGGTGAGGGGCTTCAGCTCCTGTTCGGTATAGGAATTACGACAGCGGCTCATTTCCTCAGGAACCTGGGTGGAACATGAGGGACAAAAAGGAGGTGAGTCCACCTGTCTGCATCATCAGAGGAAGAGGCAGGGCAGAAACAATGGCCTGGATGCTCAAGGCCGTGCAGGCATCTTCCCACAGATGGTGGGAGATCCCTGCCAACCTCATGTGGTAGCATAAGGTTATAAACAGATCACCTCCATAAATGTATCTGAAAAGCTTATTCCCGGCCAGGCGCGGTGGCTCACGCCTGTAATCCTAGCACTCTGGGAGGCTGAGGTGGGAGGGTCGCTTGAGCTCAGGAGTTAGAGACCAGCCTGAGCCAGAGTGAGACACCGTCTCTACTAAAAATAGAAAGAAATTAGTTGGGCGTGGTGGTGCAGGCCTGTAGTCCCAGCTACTTGGGAGGCTGAGGCAGGCAGATTGTTTGAGCCCAGGAGTTTGAGGCTGCTGTGAGCTAGGCTGACATCAAGGCAATCTAGCTGGCGCAGCAGAGTGAGACTCTGTCTCAAAAAAAAAAAAAAAGATTATTCTTGTGTAACTTTGGAAAAGTTAGAATAAGGGACTAAGTTACATTGATTAAGGCAAGGTTTTTAGATGCAGAATTTTAGTTCCAGGCGATTCGTTGCTTTTAACGGAGCATCTCCAAGGTGGGCAATTTCATTAAGCATTGACTCTAACAAGCTTATACATTATAACATATAAATAAGACATTTTCAGGCTATGTATATAATCTCCAGCTGTGATCAAGTATCAAGCCTAGGATTTTGTACCTAATCACGTTATCCTTTACAAAGCAGCCAACTTTCCCAGCTCCTTACCTGGAAAAGCTTCTTACACTCCGCAATCATGTGGGCCAGCCCCTGAGTGGCAGCCAGGTTTTCATTCAAATCTTTCTGATCTGGTTTGCCCAAACTTTGTTTTCTTTGCATTACCCTAGGTAGAAGAAATACAGGAAGGGAAGGATTCAGATGCTTATATACTTTCGATCAATGTATTATTTATTCAAACAAAGCCAAAAAAAAATCATTTTACTGGAACCTACTTGTTAACTGGTTCAGGAGAGCTTTGACTTTGGTCACCTGTGATTCTCGGGGAGTTTTATCAACAACACACAGGACGACATTAAAGAGACTTGTTTATAATGAAATCCAGGTGATTTAAAGCCACTTTGTTCAATAGGTTTCTATTTTAAATAGGGCAGCTTGTAAGGTCTACGTATGCATGGTGGGGAGGAAGAGGCAGCTTAGAAGAGCATGGGGCGGGAGTCACTGGAACTTGGGGAAAGGGTGCCCCTATTCTTACCTGTTTAAATACACAGGATCACCTCCCAGAGGTGAGGGACACATCTATTGTTTCTTAGGAGTTTTGTCTTAATCTTATCTGATCTCTCTCTTCTGCTTCTCTCTAGTTCTCTATCCCATTGCAGCTGCAATGCCCCAGTAAGCTTTTAGAACTAGTTAAAAGGGTATTTAAGCACTGTACGGCTTTCAGATGCAAAGCTAACTTCAACTAGTACAAGTAGGCCCCGTGGCTCTAGCTAAGAAATACTTTCAAATCTCCTTTAGAGCTGAGGGAAAGGATGGATTTAGTCTGGGCGGGTTAAGTCCAGTTTGTGAACTACTTTCTCATACGCTCCACTAGAAGAAGGTCTTTACATGAAATAGTCATGGAAGTGAGAAGCTCGAACTGGCCCTGCCATCTCTTCCTGCCAGACGTGGGCAAGCTGCTTACCGAACTGACTTCCCTAAGCCTCCCTTTCCTCATTTGTCAAATAGACGCTCACAGGGCCTTCACCTCCTGTGACTGTCATGGGGATTAAATGAGATGAAGAATGCAAAGGGACCATTCTGTGCCTGACGCAGAGTAAGTGCCCAGCAAGTATCAGCCTTTTCGTTATTTTTCAAGATTCCTCGACTTTTTCCAGAGCCACCCCTATCTCATATACACATGTTCTAGGCAGAAATTTTGCAAACGATTGGCTCTGGCCAGATCCCAAATAGAATCAACTTCTGAGGCCCAACATTATTCTTGGTTCATTTAGGCTATTTCCTTTCAACTTCTGGCACAGGCCAAGAGTTTGGCTTTCCTCACCACGCAGAGGCCAAGGTGGCAGGAATCTTACTTTCCATCCAGTTTTTTAGGCCAGTAAACCCGCATGCTTCTTCGCTGGCAGAAAGTACGATGGACACTATGAGACTTGCCTCAAGAGCAAACACTTGCCAGGCAGAGCAGCAATCCAAGGCTCATTCTCTCATGATCAGGTTGTTATCAGATTGTCTAGAAAGTCGCAGCCCCAGGGCTGAGAGGAGAAGAGGCTGCGTGCTGTGGAGGTGTGTGGGCTGCGCATGAAGGTGGTCTAACTCATTTTTGCTTGGTTCAGGTAAGAATCCAACAAAAACACAGTGACAGGCCTCAGTGTGAGGAACAGAGCCCATGCGTGCACCTCCCATCCAGCCCGTACCTTGGGGAGGAATTCTCTCTCTTCAGGGTGTTGAGGTGGAAGAGGGAAGGCGCTAAGCACACGGCCAGGTTGGTTGTAGTCATCTGGTTTTCTTTTACAGCCGCTGTGACATCGCTCAAGAAATAAAGAAGGGTCTGGAGAACCTCCCGGTTGTCATCAGGCAGGAGCATTACGGCCGCCTTGATCGCCTGCAGGCGCTGGTCCTTGGGTACATCTGCACGACACCAGCATTTCTCCCATCAACATGGTGATTTGCCATGCACATAGCAAGGAAATGTCCCAAAGCAAATATCAGCATCAAATACCTCGGCCCAGTACCGAACAAGCACTTGCAGAGAATATACTAGAGGGTACTACGGAAAAAATGATGAATTGCCACCGGCATTACTGCCCTCAAGTATTTCCTGCCTCGTGGAGGAGTTAAAAAATTTTAAACACCCACATTACCAAAACACTCTTAAATCCACCTCAGAGTTTAGCTCCAGAGAATGTGTGTTCTTTTAGTTTTTACAAAACAGTTTTTTCTTCCCTAAGCACTTTCAAAAATTGCTCGTTTACCAATCTCAATTACTGAAAACATTATAGACTTTATACTTTTGTTTAGTGTCAATGGAAAACCTTATTTGCGACACGTGCCAGAGGATAAGAACTGAGATTTCTTTGCCTTGACTATAAAATGTTTAGTATCTTTGAGGAATTTCCTAAGTTTAACTGATTTGCTCATTCTTGAAATGGACAAAGTAAGTTGCTAAAATAGTCAAATTAAACAACAGATATATTTAACTAGGAATTTCTTAAATTTTAGCAAGCATACTGAGAGGCTATTAAAAATGCATATAGATATGCAAATATATAAAAATGCAAATAAACCCATACAATAGTCCCCATGTAGAAAATGCTAAACTCAACCTTCGGGTCTCCTTTACTAGAAAAATCTTTTAAAAAGCATGTGGTGGAAAAATCACGTCACTCAAATGCAGCTCCATAGGGCACACTGATTAAACAGCTCCATGGTTACAATACATAACAAATACCTTGGCCGGGAAAATGTGACCTGTGTTTTCATAAAATATGAAAGGATGAAACAACTAATGAAATAATCCAGACCAGCTCTATTTCTCATAAAATAAAGTCCAATGCGCTGGTTCTAAAGACAATTTGAACACTAAGAGAGGCTGCTTTTAAACTGCATTGCTGTAATACCGCAGTGAGCCAAGAAAAACACAAGGCTGTAAAAGCTACAATCCTGATCTTGATCATTAATTTAGACAACTGTTTGCTTTAAGCTTTACATAAAAGCGAGAAGGGCATGGGTATTGTTTTCCCAAGTATTTCTGGCAGAGACTGAGATGAATAACAGAAAAAGATTATTTATTCATTTTACAGCAAGATAAAACACACAGGCACCTGTGAAATTTTAAATACAACAACCATGCTAGAGAGAGATTGTGAAGCCACCGAAATTTCTGCAGAGGAGGCAGAGAGAGAGAGAGAAATTTTGGTATCTGATCTTTATCTAAGCATCTTAGATAACAGTGTTCTAGAAACAGATGAAAGAAAAAAACGAGATCAGGATGTAAAAATGTAGAATTTTTACAGTTGTTAAAGACTGGGAAATTTATTTTCCCATCATTCAATAAGCAGACAGAACTACCTGCTCCACGAACAAGGAGGCAAGGAAGAAATTGATGACACGTGTTTCCAAGAGGTCACCACGCAGGTCCTCTGGTCACAAGAACGACATCAAAGGAACCTGAGCATCAGTTGTTCCCACTTTCTCCCAACACCAACAACCCCAAGATCAAAGAGCGCTCACATTGGTAGATCTGCAGAAAGGTTTCTGAGAGTTTATTTGTCATGAGTGGCTCAGGAAGATCTCGAAAATACTGCTTCAGCATGTCTGCCACGTCGTAAGCAGACTGTCCTTCGTAGTTGACACAGTCTATGGCACCTTCGTTCATCTGGCGCAGAGCCTGAATCCGGGATTTGACGCCCGATTTTCTGAAAAGCCCAACCTGTTGGGAGAAAAACATTCAGCGTTGGGAACACTGAGACAGAAGCAGCAGCTCACACCTGAGCTCCCCTGAGTTCGTGGCACCCACAGGCAGTGGCTCTCACCTGATCCAAACAGTGGTTCCGGAGGTAGCGCATAGCCTGCTGAATGCTCTGCGGCAGGGGCTGTCCTGTGCGCTGCACGTTGACCGTCAGAGGGACCCCAAACACATTCCGGTCCTTGTAGTCTGGAACCTTGATCCTTTTCATGAACTTGGGCACAGCCCTGTTTAAAGAACACCGTGGGGGTAGTGGGAGAGATAGGTTTACTCATCCCTTTACATTTGTCTTATCTCTGCAGGTAAACCCTGTGGGCTCTAGATCTGTGCTAAGTGTGTGGATGTTTACATTGAAATTAAACAAAATGACATATTCAGTTCCTCAGTTGTACCAGCCACATCTCAAGCGCTCCCTACCCAGTCATTTGTGGCCAGTAGCTACTGTACTGGCCTGTGCAAATACAGAACATTCCCACCAGCAAAGACAGTTCTGTTGGACAGTGCTGTTTTGGATCTTCTAAGAGTTGGGGGTGTGAGGCCCACTCACATGTCCTTGGGGTTGTCCTTCTACTGTTAACCCTGAGAACTGGGGTCTACTACTTTAAGGGAATTGAAGGGCTTCCTCACAAAATGGCAGAAATCAACAAACAACACGTGCTTCTAATACACCTAATTATGTGCTTCTGATAGAGTGTGAAGAACAAGTTCCTATTTGTCTTGAAAAAGGGTAAGAATCTCTTCTGAATTCTTCATGAGCTCTAAAGCATTTAAGGTAACAAGGTTCAGGTAACACTGGATGAGAAAACGGCAAACACACAATGTTGGTCTAACACAATGAAAACTGACTCCAGAGTTCAACAGTGAATGATCCTAAGTCAAAATCAATTCTCCTCCTGATGTCCCTGGAGAATATAACATCTTTAGGTTTCTAAAGGAAGATGGAAAAGGAACAATGGGGGTTTTGTGAGCCTATCCCAGCCTCCCTAGGGTCCTGAAACCAGGTCTTCGCCCCACCCCGACCCCCAGCAGTATATGCAACAGCAGGAAACTGATGTCATGCGTTTAAGGCTGTCAAGCAGAAGTTTCAGCTCTACAAATGACCTCTCTGAACAGGACAAGAAAGGGCAAGGCCAAACAGGAAAAGAACTCTGTGCAGAAGTTGTCCCTACTCCACGGATCCCACAGTGCCAGGCTTTTCCATTTGGTTTCGACTCATTGGAAAAACTGACCAGAACTCAAGAAGCATTATGGACTTTTAGATTCTTGTGGGTTTGGTGGGAAGGGGGTGGGCGATTCAGCAATGAGAATCTAAAGTATGTAGTTTTAAATAGCCAGGAGGGAAAATATGACTCCAAGCACAGAGGAGCTCTGCAGAAGACCGACCGCTTTGACTTTTGAGTGCTTACCAACAGCCACGACACTCTGCTGTTTATAGCTGTAGGAAAGGTATAAAGCAAAGAGCAGAGCCCGGCTTGTATTTCCATACAGTTAAGTATATGGCATCACGGCCATAAGTGTGCATAATACTCGCTTTGTCGGGGTAGAAAAGCCCAGCGGCGGAATGTGGAAAGAACACATTACGATCCCCGCCGAGAATCTGAAGCATGTGAGGATAAACCGGTCAATACTTATTTCTGTCATTCAGAACAAACAACTTCTGTATTTAGCAAGGCTCACATAATAACAGCCTTTGAACAGGAGGTGCTTTGATGCTGAAGTTAAACTCACTATGGGTCCCAAGGATAGGAGGAGCTGGGGAGAGAAGGAACAGTTACGTTGCTTCGCCGACTCTATCAAGCAACTTGAGTTTGACACAGAGAACTACTGATGCAATGGGCTGATCTCCAATTGTATAAAACGCAGCAGTTGTGCAACTGGGTAATAAAGACTCAGATTACTGTAAAGACTTGAGGCCACTCAGCTGACACTGTGAAATGCACTGAGATGTCAATCTAAAGACATTTCTCTGCTTTGTACAGATAGCAGAAAGATTAAGATGTGCACCGATTGGGCCACATCCACGACCCTTCCGGCCTAACATTCTGTGTCTCATACTATACACTAAGGGCTGTATTTTTAAAAGTAATTATGAACAATTCATCTAATATATTTCATCTTTATTTATATTTTAGTCTATATCTTAGTGTAGTGAATTCCTTAAATTTATTATTCCCTGTTGGAGAGTCTTTGCTGGGAAAAAAACATAGCTTCAACTCTTTTGCACAGGTAGATTTTTGAGTGATGCTGCAAATACATCCAAAATGATTTCTCAAAACATGCATGAATAAGGTTATAAGGCCAGGTACTGTAAACCAAGCATTTCAAAGATGGCCTCATAACATCTTAACATTTTTCTTTCCTTTCTTCCATAAATATGATCTGATACTGTGCATACATTTACCTACAGTGGGTTATTTCTACCACTGGGAAGGAGACGCCCACACCACGTGATGTAAGAGTAATGCACTCTTATCCTCACCCCATCAACTGGCAATTTGTCACTCATAGAACTGAAAAATCAATCAACCAACCCATGCTGATAATTCCCTAAGACTACCCTGGCTTTAGCAGTGTCAAATGTGACCTCAGGAATGCAGAGACTGATTGCAGTAGGATGACAGACTAAAGATATTCATCAAGGACAGAACTGTCATATGCTAGTGTGGGGACAGCCTCAAGGAGTTGACTGAAAATATCACTTTCAATGACAGTTTAAACTCTCACCAGCTAAAACCATGCTTGTTAGAAGGTGTGTATTTTTCCAGCAGGGCCGTTAACTTTAGGAGCGAGTATTTCTGCAGCAGGTTCATCTGGGCCACAGACTGGCAGTTAATCTGCAGTGATACAGAGTTTAGGCTCGGTCGATGAGAGCTCTGGAAACTGTGCCATCTCAGTCTGTGCCTGCGACAGAAGAGTAGAGGACAGTGAGTGACACAAAATCAGCAACGAACTGCTTGCTGGCATCTTAAGAACCGAGAGGACTCAATTTCTATCCCATTCTCCCCCCCTCCCCCGCCCACTGTACACACAGCATAAAATTTACCATTTTTTTTTTTTTGAGACAAGGTCTCTGTAGCCCAGACTGAAGTGCAGAGGCCTGATCACAGTTCACTGCTGCCTAGAACTCGTGGGCTCAAGCCATCCCCCTGCCTCAGCCTCCCGAGTAGGGGGACTGCAGGCACACACCACCACGCCCAGCTTTCATTTGAACCAATTTTAAGCGTACGGTTCAGTGGCATGAAGTCCGTGCACACTGTCGTGCAACCATCACCACCATCCATCTCCAGAATTCTTTTCCTCTTCCCCATCTGGAACCTTGTACCCATGCAATAATGCCCATTCTTTTTGAATGTTGGCATTTCCTGGTCTGACACCTTCCTTGGGAATTTATGAGGCTACGAATGCCAGACTTAAGCTCATTTCCCCCCCACAGAACAAGCAGAAGAAGTTTCTTTCTCATCCCCTCTCCCCAGTCTGGAGGGAGGAGAAGAGCTCTTACCTATTGGACCTGGTCAAGGAAGCCCCAACCCCAGAATCCCTTCTTTCTGGGATGTCAGAGGGCTCTTCGGGTTCATTCAGGGAGTTGCCGGTGCTGTCCAGGTCACTGGGTGTGGCCCGATCGTTGTCCACATCCAGGTGTATCTGCTTTGGCGAGGACGGGCACGGAGAGACTGAGTCCAGGGCCGAGTCGGAGTCGCCCTCATCTGAGAACTTCTCTGACCACTGATTGACTATCCGCTGCATTCCTTTCACGTGGTAGAGGATGTCATCCAGCTCAGGGAAGATGTCCTCGTTCTCCAGGTCGGCCAGGTCACCTGAGCTGGAATAGAGGATGGAGCCTGGCACGTTGTCGTAGATGCTGAGGCGGCTGCTCACGGAGCTCGAGGAATTGCGCCTCTTAAGTTCCTTAGGGCTGTCACTGCTGTTTTCCCTCCGTAGGCTGATGTGGCCAGGGCCGTGGAAGCTTCCCGTCCTCCAGTTCACAGAGCTGTTATTCCCTGAGGGGGAGAAATTGCCATTGGAGAGGGCCTTGGGGAAAGTGCCAGGCTTGTGATCTTCAGGGATGTAGAACACGGTGTCCTCCGGGTAGGTCTCGCGGTTTTTAAAGTTCTGCTCCACCACGTTGTTAAAAGTCGACTGATTGAAGGGATCAAAGCCCTCTAAGTACATGCCCACCCGCTTGTTGCAGGCACTGAGGCTCCGGGTCCTGGTGACAGGGCTGGGCGTGCTGACGGCGCTGCTGGTCTCAGACTGGCTGCTGCTGCTGCTGGTCTGCGTGGAGTTGGAGACGCTCCTCTTTCGTACCATGGGGACGTTGATGCGGTTGCCGTTGAGGGCGGAGATCTCCACGCAGTTCAGCTGCTTCAGCTTGTCCTCGTCCACCCCCTCGTGCAGAATGGGCCCACTGATGACCAGGCCCAGCTTGGACGGTGCCTTGTGCTTGCCGTGGTGGGAGCCCTTGAGCTTCAGGCTTTCCATCCGTTTCAGCAGGCTGCGCGTCTTGGACTTGGCGTTCTTCTCGTGGCCTTTCATGCTAAAGCTGAAGCTGGACAGTTCCTTGGGAGAGGGCAGGCTGCAGAAAGAGTCGTCATTGCCCGCGAAGTTGCTGGAGGAGCAGACGCTGATGACAGAGTTAGTCCGGGGGGTTGCGGTGTCCTCGCTGGGGGGCGCGTGGCTGGGGAGGCTGCTGGTGCTGCTCAGGCTGCGGACGGAGGACACCTCCTGGTGCTCGCCGAGGTCCATCAGCACGCCCCCAGGGCTCGCGGCATCCTTTGGGTGGGAGTCGTCTGGGGACCCGGGGATGGGGTCCTGCTTTGGAGAAAACACATCAAACTCTTCAAGCCGGGACCACCTCTTGCTGTCCCTCTGGAAAGTCCATTTGCCACTTATGGCACAAGGCTCATCCTCGTCTGAATCTTCACTCTGCAAAGCAGAAGGAAGCCATTGACACACTGGGACTGGCAGCCAGCAGGGAGCGGGCGTGTTCTAAGGACCAGACTGCTAAGAACACGCCACCAGGTTCTATTTCCCCCCTTATACTTTCTTACTTTTCTTTTTTTTAATAACAAAGATGTATTTAAAAGGAGAAAGCCTGATCAAATGTTGCAAGCTAAGTAAGAGTAATTTTATGGAAACGTGGGATCTATAGGCTGTTCTTTAATTGTTCACAGGGGAAACCTCTGAGATCAGTGAAAATTCCAGGCATGCAAAATATTTTGAACTGGAGTCAGCAACCGGTAGGACTGCCTCTGGATGGCCTCTGGTTTTGCCGTCTGTTGTTAGCATGTGTTTAGATTCCCTTTTGCAATTAAAAAGGTAGTTTTCAAACACTAAGAAGAGGGATAACTTAAATCTCTAGCCACTCTAAAAATTCACAAGATCTCCTACCTGACTAATTGGGACATGGGACGAGGTGAGCTATCACACAGCTCTGTCCATTGAAGCCTCTTTGTAGCCTCTTACCTGGTCCTCATCCCCCCCGCCCCCCGCCCACTGCACCAAGCACGGGGGCTAGAGCCCAGGCCACACTGTCCTGGGGAGTTTCAACGTCAGACCTGCTCCAGGCCATTTAACAAGGCTTCACAAATACCAGGCCCTGACAGCACATAATATTCGTAAACGCCAAATAACATCTTTGCTGATGATGCCTGATTTATGTTCAGGACTCAGGGATGTGCTGTCACATGGACTATTGCATCTTGGCCTTTCTGGCAGGATATCAAAAGGCACCATTCAGCATGATACATATCCTTCCCACTGGTGTGGAAAATATCCTATGACCCGAGTTTCACAGGACAATGAGTAGAGAGCATTAAACGCTGACTTGGAGGGCTCTTCTGCACAGTTCATTGGGTGCTGAGGTTCCAGTTCATTTGTTTAAAAGGTTTAACTCCCCAAGAAGGCAACTTTTTGCAGGTCATGGACTCTAGGATAATTAAAATTCATACTCTGAACAGTCAGAGAAATATATTCTTTGGCCAAACTTATCCCTGTTTACTCTAATTTGAGACATTCACTCCCAGGGCTACACCCACCTCTTCTCCTAAGATCTCATAAAAGGCCCTCACAACTGACACGTAGAAGAAAATATCACCCAATTCAGTTATGTGCCACCATTTGACTACAATGTGTGGGATTTCCTGTCCTCTCCTCCCCCAACTCCTTTCCTCCCTCCCAATCTCTTATTCTTCAATATCCCACCAGCCAGCCTTTCCTTTCATCTCTCTACAGTTTTGAAACACAGTCACTTATATCTGGGAAGACAGAAGGGTTTGAAAAGAACTTTAGCTTTCTTTTCTCTAGGGAGCGATGCAAAAATGCACTGGGATTCCTAAAGCCTCGTCCCTTTACTATGTAGTAGTCATTGAGTTTATTAGGCAAAACAACAGATGATCTGCTCAGGTCAAAAACAGTACCTAAAATAATTTATTGGCCAGCTGCAGCTATTGGCTTCAATTACATAAGGCTATAGTCTTTGGTTAACTTGACTAGATTATAATATCAAAAATGTATATACTTGTGGAACTAGAAAATAAGAGTTTGAGATACAAAACCTATTACAAAACAAGCACATCATCTGGTTTTTGGCTTGCCCCTTTCCCACCCATCCTACTATATAATTTATATACTCACTCTCTTCCGATGAGGACTAATTTCTAGCTTCATCACCGCACATTTGTTTAAAGTATTTAGACGCCTACAGAGCAAAGAAATAACATTAGCAAAGATAGGCAACCACTCACTGATGGGTGGATGAATATTTTTTTCCAAACAATTAACATATTTAATGAGTTTCTTTGAACCCATTAATATCTGTAGTCTACAGAAGTATTAGAAACTTCTTTAAAAGTAGTTTAAAATACCTTTATATTTAAATTTTCCACTTAAATTTAATGTGAAGTATTTTATGGTGAAATGGCACTCTGCTATGGTACTGTCAGGTGTCTCTAATTCTTCATGGAACAAACAATTCTCAGCAAGTTGTTCTCACTGAGAATAATTATTCTTCTAATAATCCTTACATTGAACATTAGGGAGCTCCACATACAGTGCCAAGAAATAAAAGCCTATGGTGTCTCCTTTCGGTGACACAGAAACAATAACAAGGAATGAAGTACAGTTGTCTGCAAAATAAGCAGTGTATTCTATTTCAAATCAAAATTAAAATAAAAAATAAAATAAGCCTTAGTTATCTCCGATGAATAATAGTCCTGGACAGCCTGTTTAATATTGTACAGTGTTCTCGTACACAAAGGAAATTGGAGCCCTCTCTAATATTCAATTATTTTTATAACTTCCTGATAGGACAAAATAACATTTGATATAGTCACACAGCAAGAGGACAAATGATTGTTTTAAAAATTTGTATACTGTAACTTTTATTTTAAGGATCAAAATCTTACTGAGTTCAGAAATAAGTACTTAGATTAGATTCTTCTTTGGAACAAGAGTCACATTTTAACTCTGAATGTTTTTCCCACCCCTGCCAAATGGTAATGTCAATTTAAAATTAGAGAAATAATTTAGTTTCATTGAAAATGAAATAAAAAAAAAAGCTCAGAGGGAAACAATGCAATAGATGAAAAAAGAAACTCTGTAAACATGCTGGACTAAACGGCATGTAAAGTGTGAGTGACAGCTCTTCTGGCCCCAATTTTCCAACATCTTCCTGATGATCATCACTTAATCTTCTTCAAATGAACCTGTCATGCGTCTGACTGCTGTCTCCTATCACAAATACCCCCACCAGTTTTCCCTAAAATTGCAATTCTTACCTTTTCATAGTATCCTATGAAAGAGCACTTAATTCACACAAATTCAAACTGACCGTGAGACTTCCATAAAGATTTACCTTCCTGATCCTGTACTTGCAGCTTGTCTAGCAACACCAGGATAGAAAGTATTCTTGCCTGCCTGATAAGCCTGCCTTTGATTTCATAGATTATATGGGAGCCTGTTTATAGAATAAACTGAGATAGCTCAGAGCACCGACATTCAGAAAAATTCTCTCTTGTTGATGGGGAGGGAACGAAAACAAATAACTAAGAAAAAGTCTGCAAACTTTAAAATGAGTGGACATAAGGTCTCTTTCTTAGGGGCATCAATTACTTCAATGACTTACACACACGGTGTTTTGGCTCTCAAATGTTTTCAAGATTTAAAGAATCTGGAATGGTTACACTTAGTTTAGGTCTGGGTTCCATTAATCAAAGCTGTAATCAAATACCCACTTGACTTCATTTGGGCTTTAATGGCTGAGTGGTGTTTATAACGAAATTTACTAGGCATGGAGGTCTATGCAGTGGGGGAGGGGTTTAACATCACAAACTCTAGATTTGAGTCAAACAACAAAAGACTCAGGAGGCCAATTTTATAAAGGTCCATATTATCTTTTTATGTTGGTAGCACCAAGCTAATGGCATTGTAATCCTGAAGCCCAGAGTTATTCCCTGGGGTTTCTATGGTTTTCATCTGTCCCCCAGGACTTCCAAAGAATGCCCACTGCTGGAACCTCAGAGACAGAACTGACATTAAATCATAGTTCTAGCAAGACAAATTGGGGCCCACTCTGGGTCAGGCACTTTGGTAGGCACTTCATATGTAGGATTTCATCTTCACAACCCTATGCTATAGATTTTACGATTTGCCTTTATTTTATAGGTGAGAAAATGGGGGCTTAGAGAGGTCACAAATCTTGTCCAAGGCCACACGATTACAACATGGTGGCTCTGGCACTCAAACTCAGTTATCTTCGGCATTCCTTTCTAAAATAAATGTGAATGATAGTAATAAATGAGAACAACTTATACCCTAAGTATGATTCCTCAAATAGTGGCTTATGTGCTGATATCAGAACCCATCTGTCCAGAAGCCTAGGCCATTCCCATCCCCCTGAGGGCCTGCCCAGGCTCAGCTCCACAGGAATGTGTCCCTCTTATCTCCTGGGCAACTTGCACCCTGCTCCCAAGAGGGAGGGAGCCCAGGGTGGGCTATCAAAGGTTCAAGAGTTTTGCAAGCACTCTGATAAAAGGACAGCAGGCCGGGATCTGGGCCCCATTGTATTCAAAATAAAAACAGAAGTGGGGCCCGGTGGCTCACGCCTGTAATCCTAGCACTCTGGGAGGCCGAGGCGGGTGGATCGCTCAAGGTCAGGAGTTTGAGACCAGCCTGAGCAAGAGGGAGACCCTGTCTCTACTAAAAATAGAAAGAAATTATCTGGACAACTAAAAATATATATATAGCAAAAATTAACCAGGCATGGTGGCGCATGCCTGTAAGTCCCAGCTACTTGGGAGGCTGAGGCAGTAGGATCGCTTGAGCCCAGGAGTTTGAGGTTGCTGTGAGCTAGGCTGATGCCACAGCACTCTAGCTAGGGCAACAGAGCCAGACCCTGTCTCAAAAAAACAAACAAACAAACAAAAAAAACCCAAAATAAAAACAGGAGAAAAAAGACCAATTTCCCCAAAAGACCTGACAAAAACTTCCAATTTGTAAAGGTCTTTTCTTGGAGTTAGTGCAATTGCTTTAAAAAAATTACTTGCTTCCCTTTTAATAGACCAGAAATCATAACAAAGTTAACTCAACTGCAAGGTAGGCTGCTTTTCGTGGCTTAGGCATTTCAGGGCTATTTTACAACTGAGAACATACTGAAGGTGACAGCATGGAAATCTAGTTTTCATTATACGATTGTCACTTGATTTATATCATTCTTTGATGTTTTTATAGGAGGAGTCTAAAAGTTTTAATTCCAAAGGAAAGTAGCAATTTGGAGTATTTTTCAGAACTTATAGAAAGACAAAAAGCATTTCACAAGAGGTATCCTGGTAGTAGATTACAGTTCACAATTAACAATATTATCTGTGCATGCTTTAAGACAAGCTAATCACTCCTCCAGTTTGACTACTGAGTGTAACTCCCTTGCAATCTTGGCCTTATCATTGGAGTTGGATTATACCACAAAGCTAGCAAGACTGGGCCAAAGCCAATCTCTCCAAGGAAATCTCTCCATAAATCCCTTACAGTACAAATGTAAGAATGCTGGTTAGCAATCTAAATCCAAAAAAACCTGGTAGTCCCGTAATTGTAACTTTTGGTCATTACCAAACTTCATATTTAAAGCAGTATCATCATCATTCTCAAAAAACCCATTAAGTCTACATGTCTTCTGCCCTAAGTAGAACATGTTAAGAGATCAGCTCCTACCTGCTTTTCAATCAAAGGAGGTGTAAAATCTGTAAATGTTATAGGTATATCAATATTTTTAACTAAGCAGAATGCTAGTACTGGCGTATACATGGGATCATTTGTGACATCCATGCACAAAATATGGTCCAAGACAAGGGTAGGAGGAAGGGTGGGAAAGAGAAACTCATGCAAGATTTTGTAAACTTTTAAAACTGTATTTCTGTAACTGTATTGCCACGTATATTTAAAATCAACTGTTATCTCAGCAAGGCAAAAGATGAAAACATAAAAAGTTTATCAGTCTAGAGAGAACTTCACAAGCCACAAGGCAAAATTTCAAAGGGCACTATAGTTTCATTATTTGCTGGCCCATGAATTCCATAGGCTGAGAAGGTTTTGGAATAGGCAGGTCTAGCAAATGAGGTGACTAAGACATAATCAGTAAAACAAATACCTGAGCTACACTGCTGACAACTCAGAACTTGCAGTGAAATTTCAAAGAAGGTGCTCGGAATACACAGTATAGGGTTCACATCTTTTTCTCCCGAACATTGGTTTAGGCTTCTCAAAAGGGGAATCATATTCATGAAACATCTACTTATGTGAACATGTGGACAAGAGCCCTTGAGTTCCCCATTGCAAACAAGCTGATGATTGTTGCTGTGAATTTGGACAAATTTCATTTTTTTGAAAATCCAGCCCCAAAAGCCTTTCTCCACATACTCGAATTTGGGCCTGATAATTTAATTTTTTTCCTGATAATTTTTAAAGCCACGCCGACCTCCATCGCTGCATTTCCTTCTCACAGATAACATGTGAGATGTTCTTCTACCTACGAGAGAAAACTAAAGTCCAACCAGAATATGCTGTGGAGTCTGAAAACAGATGAAGCTCCAGTTTCTTTTGGGCTTTTCCTTTCACAAAAGATCTATTCCCTTCAAAGGGAGGTGACTTCTCGAAAGGTACTCAGAGCCAATAAAAATAGCAAAGTGCAGAGGACGTTTTTCCCTTCAGAAGAGGAAAACTAAATTTCAAACTTCTATTCCGAAGGAAAAAGAAAAAGTATTCAAGAATTTAATCATGACCCTTTGGGCTGAAATGTTGCAGTGATATTTTCATGACCCAGGAATTCCTAAGCTGTGGCTGCTGTTCGGAGGGTCCGTTCCCTAAGTGGCTTACAATGTGTGAAATGGCTGATCTGATGCAATGCTTAAATATTTCTTGAGATGCATCTTAGGAGTGAAATCATTTATATGCATTATCAACAGTGATGAATTGAAAATAAATTAATTCTGCCCCACAGCTAAGCATTAAAACATTTAAAAAATGTCTAGAGTAATTCATATTCCAGAGGCTGACGTTTTCCCCTCCCAAAACTGCATCAGT